GTTTTTTTTTTTTTGTGTTTTTTTTTTTGGACACAGACTTTTGCATACCATTGATTCATTGGTGTATAATGCACTTATATTCCCAGCTTTAAGCTAACATACAGTAATAAATACAGAGTCCAAGGAGGGCGCGGGGGGCTCGGGAGCTGCGGGGTTACTGATATCCCAGTGCAGAAGCTGACGTGAGTCTTTGGCCGTAGAGCGCGTACGGGGAGTAGTAAGGTCCGGCGGCCGGCAAGGAGGGCACGGGCAGGGCGCCGGCTGTGGGCAAGTGGCTCTTGCCGTAGGGGTGGTACCTGTTTAGTCCCAAAGTGTGTGGGCTCCTCAAGGAGAGCGAGGCGGGCAACGTGTTGGGGCTCCCGGGGGCGGCGGGCGGGAGGTGGAGGTGGCAGGAGGCCGCGGAGCCCAGCCCGGAGGTAGGGTAACCCGCCAAGAGTTTCTCGGCCCCCGGCAGGGCCGTGTGGGTCCGTAGGTGGGTGAGCAGCTCCTCCGAGGTGGCAAACCTCTTGTCGCAGGGTCCGCTGGCAGACACCCAGTTGCATATGTGGGGCAGGGGGTCGTTCTGCAGCATGAAGCCGTAGGTGTAGAGGGGGTGGCCGGGCAGGCTGGGGGTGCCGCTGGAGGAGAGCGTGGTGTGCACCGAGTGCAGGGGGTGCGTGGGGTACACCAAGGGGTATCCGCTCTTCAGGCTGCCGGGGTCGTGCACGCAGCTGGAGCAGTTGCTGGAGCCCAGGTGCGAGGCGCTGTGGTAGCTCAGGCAATACGGGTCCCGGCATAATCCCTGCATGAAGGAGGGCGGCGAGGCCCCGGTGAGCGGGCTGGAGCTGGGCGGCTTGCCCGGCAGCCCCAGAGCCCCCGGCAGCTGGCTGCCCACCAGCCCCGGCTTGGTGGGGTCCAGCCCGGGCACGAACTGGGACGGGTAGCCGGCGTAGGCGCCGACGATGGAGCCGTGGTAGCCGATGCTGGAGGGCGGCAGCGGGAAGACGGAGTGGCCCGGCTTGTAGGGCGACACCGGGGCCACATGGCCGGCGGGCGGCAGGGCGGGGGGCTCCGACTTGCGGCCCGAGGGGGGCTCGCCGTGCGCCCCGGGCTCCACCGCCCCGCGCCCCAGCCCCCCGCCCGTCCCCTCGGGGCTGGGCTTGCCTCCCTCGGGCTCCTTCTTCTCCTCGGCACCCTTGGGGTCGGGGTGCTGCGGCGAGGCCCCGCGGGAGCCGCCGGGCGAGGCGGCGGCGTGCGGGGGGAACGGCGGGCACGCGGCGCTGGGCACCCGAAAGCCGGCCTTGTCCGCGCCGCCGCCGTCCTTGCGCGGCTCCGCGCCGCCCTTCGAGTAGGGCTTGAAGCTGGACTTGTCCTCGGCGGGCGCGTCCCCGCTGCCCGGCGGCTTCAGCGCGGCGGGGCGGGCGGTGGGCTCCTTCTCGGCGGCGGGCGCGGCGGCGGCCACGGCGTTCAGCTTGGAGGAGGGCGGCGGGTCGGGCTTCCCGATCTGCGAGCAGGTCTGGGCCAGCAGCGCCAGCGGGCTCTTCTTGGCGTCCAGCTGCGGGCGGAGCGGAGCCGGTCAGGGGGGACCCCGACGGCGCCCCCGCAACCCGCCTCACCCCCCACCCCCCGAAACCCCGGGGCCGGGCCCGGCGCAGAGCCAGGGCGCGGGGATGGGGGGGGACGGGGAGGGGGGACCCGCCCGGCCGGGGAGAAGGACCGGGAATAGGGGGGGGAGCGAGGCTGCGGCTGCAGCGGCGGCGGGGAGGGAAGGAGCGGGGGCCGCCGGGCAGGGCAGAGTCCGGCCGGAGAACCGGGAGCGCCGAGCCGGGAAGAGCCGGGCTGGGAAGAACCCGGCCGGCAGAACCGAGAGCGCCGAGCCGGGAAGAGCCGGGAGCGCCGGCCCGGGAAGAGCCCGGCCGGGAGAACCGGGAAGCGCCGGGCTGGGAGGGAGCCGGGGGGGTCCGAGCCGCGGTCGGGGGGGGGCGGCGGGCACTGACCTCGATGGGGCTGACGGGCGTGGAGGAGAGCGGCTGGAGGTACTCGGGGTGCAGGAGGTGGCCGCCGTGGGCGCTGAGCATCTTCAGGACGCGGATGGGC